TATAACTAATCAGTAAAATAAAAAAAAACTTATTGTAATGTGTTATTTTTTGGCAAGAATTAATAACAAATTTATTAATGATATAAAAACAGAAATAGGATTTTTACTGAATGCATCAGGTATATCATCATCAGCAATTAAAACCTTAATAAATACTAGACTTACAATTAGAAGGAAAACTATTCAAAATATAAATATCAATTAGCTAGCTCACATATACAAATTGTTAAAGATTATATTATTAAAAATATAAGTTTTTTTATATCTTTTGTAAAATTTTTTTTTTAATATTTTTATAAAGTATTTATATATTATAATAATTCTTTAACAATGATTTCTTTTTATACATTGAAAAATTTTTTAATTATTTTTAATATTGACGATTATCATAATATTCATACTATATGATAACTAGATACTACTAATATAAGTAACGCACTTTATTTATTACAATACTTATGAAAGTAACTATACAAGTTTCTTCCATTCCATTTAATAATATTGGTTAATCTATAATTCAAAATCTAAGATATAGATTTTAACAATATAATTAATCAACTGAAATTACAATATATAAAAATTTTAAATATAACTTATCAAGATCGAAAAAGTTTTTTTACAAATTTATTTGAATTATTATCAAGTCATAAAGAACATATTGAATGATACTTATACATAGTTATAATATAAGAATTGCTAAACGAAAAAATGATCAAAGCATATATAATGCTAAATTAGTTGATCTTTTGAAAGAAGATTTACATTTAACAAAGGATTACCTTTTTGTAATTCAATCACTAATTAATATTTCAAAAATAAATACATATTTGAAAAAAAATGTTTTAATTGCTCCTATGGATTATCTTAAATAGAAAAATATATATTGTGCTATTATACATCATATGATTAATAAAGAATGATCTAAAGTGCCATCATAAATTCTCAATATTACACCTTTTATTAGTCTTTTACATGTATCTTTAAATAGTCAGAAATCAGTATTTCTTAATAATTATAATTTTTTTAAAAAGATGTATCACTCAATATTTGGATTTCACAAAATTTTAGTTAAAAAGCCTAAATTATATAGAATTAATCTTCTTTTAGAACTTGCATTTAAGGAATAACTTTTAGTTAAAGAATATATTTAAAACTTTTTTATAATTGTAAAAATCCTGAAGCATGTACATTTATTGACCTTTTGGATAATATAATTCTGTTAGTTTTAGATTTTTATTTAATAATTTTTTATAGTAGATGTTGAAAAGTATATAAGGAGATAATACTACATATATAGTCTATTTTCTTTCGATATAGACATAAAAATTATAACAAATTATCTTTAGCATTTCTTAGTGATATTTTTTATTGACAAAATATCAAACATCCAATTGCAGAAACACTTAAAACTTCTCTATACATTATTAATGATTACTACATAGAGAATTTTCATGGTTCTATACAATATCAAATAAATAGTTTTAATACTGCAAAGCAAATTATTTATCAGACAAAAGTGATTGATTAAATGAGATGCAAAAATTCTTTTAATAAAACATTTTCAAATAATCATAATATAGTTTATACAGAAAAGCAGTTAAAATTTTTAGAAAAGAAAAATGCAATTTTTCTTTTAGATTTATTTCAAAATATTTGAAAAAATCATGGAGGTGTTATAAAAAAAGTAAAAAAATATTGGCAGTATAATTTATCAACACTTAGTAAAATTGTGAATCAAAGGTTCTTCTGATGGCTTGGAATTTATCTTGTTCACCTAGATTAAATAGAGTATGTGCTTGAAATATGTGTACTTTATCATCAAAAGTATCGGGTGATATTTTATCATATAATTATAGTTATCATACAAAGTGTCTCGCTCAAGCAAATCAGAAATGTCAATATTATTATAAATATCTTTGTAATGGTATTAAGTATAATTGCAATGTATTTCAAAATATGTTAAATAAGCCATTTGATGATGATGTTGATGAAGATGGTAAAGACTTAGAAAACTAGCAGAAAAGCCTGCAAGAAGATAATGGTGATGAGATAGTTTCTATTAAAAAATGATATAGATAAAAAATTGGAAGAGACGTTGAAATTATTTAAGCTATGTTCAATAATGGAATTGAATTTGATTAATTATAATATTTTTAAGGTAATTGATTCTCTAGTTCATTTATATAAGTCATTTATTTATTAACTTTACTTTAAAAACAATTATTTATTTTCACATTTCACATTTAGTATCATATATTTATCATATTTAATAATAATTTATTACATATGTTTTCACTCAAGATTATTTGAAAATTAATTACAATTATTTATCATTACATAAAACAACTACACGCATAACATTTTTTTTAATACTATTAACTTGAAAATGATCAAATTCTTAATAAATTATCAAAATACATTAAACTTATTTATGAATAAAAATTGGCATTTAACGTTATATAATAAAATCTTAAAAATGATCAACATTTATGTGATAATTAAAAAAGCCCGCTATATAAATAATTAATATAATTTTGTAATATTAGATATATATATAAATAAGACAAAAGTATCTAGACAATTGCGATGTTGCAGAAATTTAACTGTATATTATTGATCTTTAAATAACAATAGAATACACAATTTCTAATCAAATTCGTTATTCTTTTTTTTTTAGAATCCCACAGCTTCGCTTTTTTAAATAAAAAAAAATTTTTTATAAATAATTATTTAATACATAAAAATGCCAAAAACCTGCGAGCTTATACCTTTTGAGCATGGAGAAATCATAGGTTTATCAAAGGGCGGATATAGCATAAAAAACATCTCAAAAATTCTTGGCAAACCAAAATCTACTGTCCATGATGTAATTACGAAGTACAATAAAGAAAACTGCATTGATACTGCACCTAGAAGTGGTAGACCTCCAGCTTTATCAGAATAAGATAAACGTCAACTAAGAAGAATAGTCTGACAAAACTGTAAACAAGCTGTAGAAGAAATTACTGAACAATTTAACCAGGGTCTTAATATTTCATTAAGTAGTAAAACTATTGAGCGAACACTGCATTTTATGGGTTATTATGGGCATATTGGTAGGAAAAACCTTTAGTTTCTGATATAAATAAAAAAATGTTTACTTTGGTATTATATTAGAAAAGTTGGCAAGATAAATGGAATTTTATAATTTTTAGTGATGAATCTCGTTTTGAATTATTTAGAAATGATGCTAATTAATGGGTTTAGCGTAAGGTTCATAAGGCATATGCAAAAGATTGTTTAATTCCAACAGTTCAAAAGTCAGAAGGAGTTATAGTTTAGGGGTATTTTTGCAACTTTAAAGTAGGACTATTAGTACTAATTAAAGGAAAATTAAATGCTAAAAAGTATGTAGAATTACTTAAACATTATCTTTTACCTTTTCTTAATGAACTTGAATCTAATAGCCATACTTTTCAAGATGATAATGCTTCAGCACATGCAGCACGATTCACAAAGGGTTGAAAAGAAGAAAATTTACATCAATCACTTCCTTGGCCAGCACAGAGCCCTGATCTCAATCCAATTGAGAATTTGTGAGATATATTGAAAAGAAAGGTCAGGATGCGTAGTCCTAAACCAAAAAATAAGTTAGAACTTTTAGCTGCTCTTAAAGAAGAATAGTACCAAATTAAACCTGAAAGATTATTAAAGTTAGTTGAAAGTATGCCTCGTAGAATTAAGGCTGTAATAAAAAGTAAAGGGTATCCTACGCCATATTAGTATTATTTTTAGATTAATATAAGCTAATGAATGGTTAAAATTTATGTGTTTTTACTAAAGATTATAATGTTGTAAAATAGCTAAAAATTTCTTAATTATCTAACAAAATTTCATAAAAAAATTTATAATTATATATTTCAAATAAACAAAAAAGGTTACTTAGTAATAAAAATTACGTTAAGACCAAACATTTTAATGTTATACTATAACTAAAGTTTTTATTAGAAAATGTATTATTTTAAACAAATTTTAAATTATTATAGTTCGACCAATTTTTACTTAAATTCTTTGAAATTTTTATGTATCACGTGATATATTATGATGAATAACTTTACTTATGAAACCGAAGTTACATTTATTAATAAAAAAAAAGTTTACTTATATCCAACTTTACCCAATTAATTTAGTAATTTTCATAGTGTCCGGATACTTTTGTCCTGTGTGTGTAGATTTGTTTAATTAAAAATGGTATTTTTGTTATATTAATCTTTTGTATAAAAGTGTTAAAAACAAAGCAATTAAAAATTTTAACGCAAAACAACCAATGATTAAAATCATTACTGCGGTCATATTGCGCCGCAATGAAATGACAATATTCATACACTTCATAATGAAGATAGTTTCTTGTTTCTTTTTAAAAATTTAAAAATTTTATTTTATTATTCTAGGATAATTCGGATTATGAATAATTATTCGGATCCTATTTAACAGTATATCCTAACATTTTTGATAAAAAAAAAAATTACATATAAATAATTAAATAAATAAAACTATTTGTGCTTCGCTCAAAGTTATTATGCTAATCACTATATTTATAGCCAAAAGATTAATAAAATCGGATCCTTATATTATAGTTAAATGTTTTTATTGTGTAGCCGCATTGCGTAGTTATCATAATTTATTTTAAAAAAAAAAATTCTAAATCAGACATTCATTATTATCGAAAATGAACCAATACTGAGAAATAATATTAAGTCGGGGTGATTTATGAGTAGTCGAATAGCAAGCATTAACCAGTTTGGGATCCTTTTCGAGATAGCAACCTTTCGATATTTTGATCCGTCTTTGTTGGGTATGTGCGTCGGGTTTCGTGGTAAATCCATGTAATACCGGTTATTTTTAATTGCCTTGAAAACTTCATAATAATTTGCATTTGTCCAATAAAAGGAATATACAAGATTCAAAGAACTTCCATTTAAATTGGGAGTTTAATAATTTAAGATGAATTCTATACTATACTACATGATATGATTATTAAATACGAATCTTTTAATAACGCCCAAATCTTTACACTCTCTAATTATTGTGATATCAGTTTGTGATAATTGTACATCCATTATTGAACCAAAAGAGATAGTCAAAGAAAGAGGAATACTTGACATACGATTTACCAAGCTTGACTTTAATCCCCACTGAAATGTTGCTTTCGGATCTAATTGATTACTGCACAAAATATAAATGTCTTTTAAGTTTTTACAATGATCTACTATAACTTTCATAGAATTCAAATTTCCTTCCGGGAATACAGTGCGTAACAACCTCAGTTTTGGACAACAATTTGCTATTTTTATATAAAATGAATCTTTGATAATTTTGATATCTTTTCCTAGGCAAAGTTCTTCCAAGTTCTTTCCATTATTTTCCAAAAATTTCATTAAATATTCGATTTTTAAACAAATATTTTCAAATTTTAAAATTTGCAATTGTGGAAGGGAAACGTATTGAAAATCTTTAAAATCTTCTAAATAACTTTCGTAAAGTATTGCCAATGTAAGTTCTTGTAAATTCGGGAGCTTAGGAATCATCGAAAATGGTATGGGAATACGTACTCCAACCATGCGTAATTTTGTTAAGGTGATAGGAAATAATTGAATTGGACTTTCTTTATAACAAAATCTCAAATCCAAATATTTTAGATTTGATTGTGAAGTTATTAATTCTTCTAGTCCATCTGATACTGATTCTTTCAATTTTATCCTTAAAGTTTTTAAATGTTTACAAGTTATACTTAACTTGTGTAACATATCGGAGCTGATGTTTGAGCAACACTTAAATTCCGAAAGGTTACTTAAACAAACTTCTCTCCCTTGATAATCCAAAAAATTTGTTTGGTTTTTGTTTGTAGCAATACATAACTTCTTTAAATAAGTGTTCTTCATAATCATTTTTAATATTTCTTCTTTTATAACTTCCTTGTTTTTATCGTCAAATTTGTTGATTGAACGACTAAGATCACTAATCCTAAGATTCCTGATAAATGCTACATAATTAAAAAATGGCGGTCTTGAGGTTGGAATAATGACCCCATTCTCAATTAACGTAGCTCGGGATTCATTTGGAAGACATGCAAGTAAGGATTCGAAACTTTGTGGTCTTCTCCACAAAAGTCTAACGGCGATTTCGCACCAAAGTCTCATTACTAATAAGCAAGCAAACAAGTCCTTTTCATTTAAGAATTCAAAGATTTCATTTAAACAATCGGCGGTCAAATTATAAATCATTTTAATAAGAAGGAAAGGGAGTATTTATTAGTCAAAAAAAACTTTGTTAAGGAAAAAAAAGGTGTGATTTATTAATCAAAAAACTTTTGCGATTTTAAAAGGCGAACGAATTTTTTAGGTCAATTTATTGTTTATTTAAGAAAAATAACAGTCAGGGCGTAAAATAAGTAATGCAAACATATGTGTATCACCTCATAAAAAAATTTATAAGCCAAAAACCCTGTTATCATCATTCTACTTGATCGACCTTTATTGTTTTTCTTTTCTTACACCAATGGTTGGTTTGAATTTGATTGTGAATGATTGAACTAAACCAAAAAAAAGGTGCTGTGATCTCTTAAAAAAGATAGGTTCATTATAAAAACCCGGTGCCAGGTCAGGTAACTTCCTGTTAAATTTTGAAAAATTCCCATATATCTTCCTTTTTTGGTTAACTGATTTCGTATTGCAGTTTTTTTTTCATGTACACATTAAAAAAAAATTTTTTTATCTCCTTTTATCTCCTTTAATACACAAAATTCCTTTTGTAGTCAAACATAATGTTAATCAATGCGAGGCAAGCGATTTTCCTTTAAGATGTTTTATTCGAAGATCAATTTAATACAATATTTTACGATCATGGAATTTCTGCAGGTCTTATCGAAGGTCTGATTTTAATTGTCGCTGCGCCACATGCAAAAAGTTATTCCTTATATTCGACGCCCTTATACCAAAACGGGGGCTTACGAAAAATTTTGGGCATATATTACATGCAACTTTTCCTTTATCCTTTCAAGAATTTTTTTAAAAAAAAACTCGTAATTTTGTATAACAATAAGTTATTTTGTTTTATTGTTAAGTCCGGGTAACGAAAGGGATCAACAGACATTTCGGACCATAAATGACCCTGATTACTTTTGGCAGTGATCAACAAATAAAATAATCAATATTAAAAAAAATGTTTTTTAAAAAAAAATTTTATAATGTTTATTTATATTTTTAATATTTTGTGAGTAACCTTTAGAGATTTTACAGCTTCAACATGGTGAGGCAATTTTATTACAAGTCTATTATAAATTGAATCATCAATTTTAAACTATTTTTCTATAAAAAATAAAAAATTCTGTCTTACTAATTGATAATGAAATATGTCTAATTCATTTAATAGGATTGAAATCAGGATTTTAAGATCATAGAAGTTGGATAATAATTTTTCTAATATTCATCTTTTACTTTATATACCTGATGAATTGAAGTATTATCATCTTAAAATGTATTTAATATATTGAATAAGTGATTTTAAATATGGAAAATTTGCTAGAAAATGGAAACTGAAATTTTTTGACTAAAATTTAAGATCTTATTACATTTTTTTTAATGTTTTAGTAATCGGTCCATCTGAGAGTTTTTAGATTATGGGCGTTATTAGTCTCACATATTGTCATATTTCAGTATTAAATCTCTACTTGCTATATTTTAAGCTGATTTGAACTACTGAGTCACTAGCCTTTGTGATAAGCTATGTAAAACAGACACCGCATGGCTAATCTCTAATGCTATCATAGTATGAAGAAATTCAGGCCAATTACTGAAAAGAAGTGTTTTTAATAATCTAATTTAGGATAGCTGCCTAATATAGTTGTCACGCTCAGACTGTTAAAATCACTATGAGAATTGAACTCAGGCCTCTTAGACCCTAATTGGTATCATAAACGCCATGGTATTTCAACTAGAAACTACTTATAACTCACAACTTTTGTTTAATCTTAGTTATACAGTGTTTACTATTGATCTATCATAACCTGTTATTAGGAATGACTCCTTGTAAACGATGTAAGTTCTAAACTCAATCAGTTCTATATATATATGACTATTTATGCAGGCATACAGGTTCACTATATTCTACAAGTTCGTGATCTTTAACGTATATAGTTTGTATGCATTCTATAATATTCATTTCCAGAATTGAACTAGTAAATCCCATAATAAATTAATACTGTGATCTGCACTTGACTAATGCTGAACTAAGATCTATTGCAGTATAACTATAATAGAGATTTGCATCTTACGAATTGAGTCGGAACTGCTAGACCCTTTATTTTATTACATTTTAATCTAATAACATCAAAAACTAAATACAATAAAAAATAAAATTTTGTTAAAAAACTTACAAAATCCCATTTTTCTAACAAATCTTTTATATGATAAATAAATGATTTTTAAAAATTTAATATAACTATCTGATATTTATTGTATCTTCCATTAAATTATAATAATAATTTCAAATCAGCTGCAGTAAAACATTCTCAAATTATTATTTCTTTTCTATTTAAATTAAATATTATTTAAAACAATCAATAGTATACTTTTTCATAGATAATCTTTAAATATAATAAATATAATTTTAACAATTATTATATCTCAAAATAGGATTTATCATTTCAAATAATAAAAATTCTATTTAAAAATCTAATATAACTTTTTTATAATTATTTAATAATTGTAATTTGATAATATTTGAAATTAAATCTCTATATCTCTAAAATAATATTTCATAAATCAGATCAAATCTGATTTTATTCAAATCTGATTTAATTTGATTTTTATTTTTATTAATCAAATCTAATTTAAATCTAATAGATCAATTTTAAATTTAGATCAATTCAAATTTATACAAAATATTATTTTTAAGATTAAACAGAGAATATTTTTAGATTCTCATAATATAAAATTTTAAATTAATCTAGTCACCCAGTTTTTTTATATATAATTTTTTTTATATATATTATTATATAATATATGTGATAATTCTTTTGAAGTTTTAGCAAATTCAAGTACAGAAATAGAAATATAGGCTCTTTGCAATAAAAAGGAAGGAAACTACTAAAAAAATTTTTTTTTGCTTTATAAGCTAAATATTATTTTTTTAATAAAATAAGTTTCAAATTTAATATTAACTTGAAAAAAATTTTTTTGGTAGTTTCCTCCCTTTCTATTGCAAAGAACCCATATTAATGATAAGGATAGTAAAAGTGATAACGTAGAAAGAATTTTTGAAATATAAATGTTGGTGATAAATTAATATATAGTATTTCTATAAAAGATTCTTATTATTCAATTAGTTTATTTGAAGATATTTATTTTTAATATGAAAAAATACCGAAAAATAAATGTGATGTAAAGATTAGATCTAGCTAAAAATTCTTAAATAATTAATAATCAGTTAAAATTTTTACTAATCAATTAATTAATTGATTAAAATTAATTTAGATTAATACTAAAATTTAAAAATATTTTTGCAATATTAAATATCTTAATTATAATCAAAAATTAAATTTTGGCTAGAGTTAAATTTTATTTTAATTGGTTAAAAAAAATCTTTAACTGGTTAATATATTAATTATTTTAACTAATTTCAACTTCTAATGTGATGAATTTATATTACTATTATTACAATAAATATTATACAATAGTTTTAAATAACAAAAAGATAACAAATTCATATTTTTGAATTAATTATAATAAAGTTTATTATGTAAGATCACATGATAAAAATTTTTCTATAAAAAGATTCTGAATTATAAAACTAATATAGCTGGATCATGAGAATCTAAAATTAACTTTGCCTAACTTAAATAGTAATTATTTGATTTTATTCACTTTTAAATAATTTTTTATATTTTTATATTATTACAAAAGAATTATAAAAGTTATTATTTTAAAAAAATACATTTTAAATATTTTATTTTTATTATTTTGACTATTATATACAATTTACAATTATATAAAAAATAAATTTTATTTACTTTAGTTTAATCATTGATAAAATAAATTATTATTTAGTAATTTTATTAGAAAAGAAATATAACTTAAATGAAAAAGATTTTAAATCTTATTAATATTTTTTATTTTATTTGTAAAAATTCATTTTATTAATTATTATATTTATTATTATATTTATAAATTTATAATATTTATCTAAAAAAAAAATTTTATTATTAAAATATTATTAGTTTAATTTATTCTATTTTATTCAAAAACTACTAGTTTAGTCTTTAAGTTAAACTGATTTTTAGTTTTTTATTAAACAACAATTATAATTATAAATTTAATTTTAATTAATTATATATGTTAAGTTAATTAGAACTCTAAATATTTCTTATTTAATTCATAAGTTAAATTTATTTTTTATAATAATTTAATTAATATTAATGCTAAAAATATAAGTTTACTATTATTAGAATTTTTTTATTGAAATGATTTCAATGATATTAAAATTATCTAAATCAAATTACTAGTTAACTTAAAAACTAGAAATATGTAGAATAATGAATTTAAAAAATTTCTATAATATGTAATTTTACTAAAATTTATATATAAATTTTAATCTGAATTATAAAAGATTTTAAACTCTTTCTCATTAGATTTTGTTTAAGAATTTTTATGTAAAAAATATGTATAATTAAAAATAATTATGACTTAGCCTGTGAATAAAAACAAAAACTCATTTTTTAAACTTTTTTCTTTTTTATTTCTTATATTCTATCTAAAACTATTCTGTTGATAGTCTAAATATGAGTATTTTTTTGTTTAAATATATTTTTTACTACTTCTCTCAGATATTTTCTTATTTATTTTTCTTTTTTCTTTTTTGCTTACAAAAAAGTGAGTATCAGAAGGTATCTAAGATGATCAGGATCAACATAACTTTAAATATAAATAAATAACTATTCAATTACCTTTATAAACAATAATACTCTTTTGAAAATTTATGATGTTATATAGTCTGCTGATCTTAGTGAGATTTTCTAGTTCTTATAATTGTATAAATTAGGCTTCATGTAATATCTACTGATAGTTGTAATCTAAATTGATAGATATCTTAGCATAAAAATTTGAGAGTACAAAAAAATTTCTGATAGAACTTAATAATATAGGTGCTCTTATATTAGAAGATTACTATAATCAAAAACTAACTAGGCAGCTTAGCTAGGAACTTGTTAAAATCATATGTCTTTTTTAACCTTTCTTTTTATTAAATATTAATCTCAAATTTATTAGTTCTGAAAGATGTAAATTTCTTAAGAGTAGAGAATTAATGAATAATTTAAAAAAAAAGTATTATAAAAATTAATACTTTCTATTAGTCTTTTCTATTGAAGAACTACTTATTAAAATTAGTTCTTTTAGATATTTAGAGAAGATGGTTAAGAATTAGTTGACTCAAATAAACTTTAAAAATAATTACAGAAGATAACTGCAGTATTATCATTAAAAATTAAAAAAAAATATAAGAGATTTTTAGAATTCTGTTTAAAATTCTATTCTTTAAAATATAATAAAAATAAAAACTAATTTAAAAATATTTTAAAAAAATAAAAAGCAAAAAAAAAATCAAAAAAAAGAATAGAAAAATATAAAAATTAAAAATAAAAAAATTAAAATAAAAAAATAAAAAATAATTTCTGAAAAAAAAGAATAAAAATAATTAGTAAATATAAATTTATTAAAATATATTAAAATAAATAAAGTTATTATAAATTTGTTAAAAATATCAAAACTTTTAAAAAAAAATTTATATTTATTATTCTCTTTAATAAAAACTTTTGCTTTTTTTTATTTTCTTATAAGAAGAAAAAATTAGTAAAGCAAAAAAAATAATAATTAAATTTTAATAATAAAATATTATTATATTCTTCAAGCATTATTTTATGTTTGAATACATTTTATTCTTTGAGATTTCAAATTATAATATAAATTTTAAGCATATTATTTAAATTTATTATTATATAAAATTAATTAAACAATAGAATATCTAAAGAAAAATTAATTAATATTACAAAATTAAAATAAATATTTATTAATGATTATAAATATATATTTATTTATATAATATAATAATAATATAATATAATCTTTTAAAAATTAATAATATTTAAAATAAGTATAATATTTAAACTTTTTGTTTAATATAAACTTTATATAATAATTATTATTTTTTTATAATAAGAATTTCAATTTTTTAAAGATTTATTTATTATAGTTATTAATATAAATAAGAAATGAAATTTTTTAATAATAGTTTAAATTCAGATAAACTATATTAAAATTATAATAAAAGATATGAAAAATCTTTAATATAATAAATATTATTTTAAAATAATAAATTTAACTTTTTCAAGAGAAATATTAATTATATTTACATTGTACAAATGGTTAAATAAATATTTATAATTTTTAAAAAAATTTTTTTATTAAATTATTTAAATTTTATTATTTTATTATCTTTTATTATATATATCTTTAAAGATAATTTTTAAAACTTTCTTAAATTAAATTTATTATTTGATTATTTAAAGAAATATTAACTTCTTTTAATTTATATTATCTTTAAATATTTATTTTTATATTATTTTAATATATTTAAAAAATTTAATATTAGATATTATAGTTTGTATAGTTAAATTAGCAAATATATGAATATTTATTTATAATTTATTTATATCAAAAATTAAAATTAAAAAATATATAAACTTAAACTATTATTATTATTTAATATAAATTTTAAAGTTACTTATTATTAATGATTATATTAAATTTGAATAAAACCTTTTATTAGAAATTATATACATGTTTCTAATATTCAATAATCTAATTTATTAATAAAAAGTCTACTAAATCTTTAAGTATTATTTAGCAATTTTAATATAAAGAAATTGGATTTAATTAAAAAGCAATATAATATACCAACAGATAATTAAATGCTATTTATATCCTTTTTATATTTTTATAAAATAGCAAATAATCTTTTATTTAAATATTATATAAAAATTAAATTTGAAACTTTTGTTTATTGATAATATATTAAACGTTTTATTTAAAAATGATAAATTGTATAAAATTCTGCATGATAATTGATTATGTATTAAAAATCATCATTTAAGGGTTTATAAAAAAGAAATTTGATAAAATTCCAATCTTTTTTACAACGATCAAGTTTTAAAATTTGCCAATATTAAGAAATGATCTTATTGGTTATGTTAGGCTGTTTCTAAGATAATAATGAAAGTGGTGATGCCGATTGAATTTCTAAATATCTATAGGAACTTGTTTTCTTTTCGTTTAATTCTTCGAAAATTTTCTTTATATTGTACTTTTTCAACTTATTATAATCCTCGAGAATACTCATTCCACAAATACACTATTTTTTTAAGAAAGTTAATTTAAGATATTATACAACGATAAAAAATTTAATTTGATTGTAAGCTACCTTGAACACATACTAATTCTGATCATCGAGATTTACTATGCGTTGATCAACTAATTTTGCAATCATTGTAATTAATTCCATTCTATCTACATTATGATTATGCCTGATATTCGGAATAACTGCATACTATTTTTTTTTTTAAAAAAAAATAATCATAACATAATTATTAGTTTGCTAAAAAGATGATAGAATATTTTTACCCTATAATCTTTTGTTGATCGTCTTTTAATGAATAAAATCGTGGTTTCAATATTTCATCTGCCAATTAAAATCATTCATATTGTCGTAACATGTTTGTACAATGGGAACCATCTTCATAGAAAATCTTAGATTCATAATCAAAATATGAATTACTTTTACTCCATTAAATTAAAAGAATTTAAATTAAAAGAAGAAAAATCAAGAAGAAAAATCAAGAAGAAATTACTACCTAGCTTTCTTTGTTCTGAATTGTACAAATCGGTCAAAATAGAATGAACGAGTTGAACAGGGTTTACAGGAGGATTGTCTTGATGAATACGACTAACAAATTTATGATGTAAAGTAGTTAGTACATGAGTAAGAGATTTGATTAAATATAGAAGGATCAATAAGTACCGCAATTAGCTCCAGTTTGTATTGATGCAAAACGACGCGATTTATGAGGTTGTTTCATTTGGGCAATTTCTTTAGCAATTGAAGTTTCCACATCGTCTTTATTTGATCCTCCTTCATCAACTTTAGGATTATCATCCGTAGAATTATAAAACTTATCCGCGTACTATTAAAAACGAAATGATTTAATATTTTTCGTGTGATTTCATATATATATATATATGGGAGGTTTGCTATTAAAATCGAGTTACGAACATAATAAATCATAAGATCCGTAACGTGATTTTATTAGCTTACCTCCCATATATATCTCGTTAAGTTTATATAAATTTCTACCTCACCAAAAAATCATAGAATTCGCTAATGCATAAAGATTCTTTTGTTTTAATACAACTAACTAATATACCGGATATATATTGAGCTCCAGAACAACTATATTTATTTAAACAATAATTTAATACTATTTTATAGAGAATTTTTTTTTCTATTTTTTTTACACCATACCTTCGAATTTCATATTTTCCAAAATATCGGTTATATTTTTGTGGACTTGACATTTAATAACAAAATTGTCTAAAATACGAAGTTTATCATCAGTTTCGCAATTTTGTTACCTTTCGTGATATTTCACGTGATAAGATCGATGCTTAGATGTCACTATTTGCGTAGACATCAAAATTTTTAAAAAAATCATAAAGCAAACGTGGTCAGAAGAAAGTATTGCAAAGACACGCAAATCCCTCAAAGAAAGACTATCTGGATATGTAATATCACAAACACTTGTAGGTTTAAAGAAAAAGTACAAGTATGTGTTTTGAATTTTTTTTTTTTTAAAGGTATTAAATAAGATTATTAAATAGAACCGTCGATTTTGGCGAAAGAAATACTTGCATGCTTATTGGCCCGTCTGGTTGTGGGAAGACAATGGTAATTTTTTTAAACATAACCACGTGAACTCGTTTTGTATATTCTGAAAGAATTTTTAAACGATTTATATTTTTTATGTATATAATAAAGCCTGTAAACAAGGTTCTACGAAAAGTACGATGACGATTTTTGTATCGTATACTTGAACGGGTTATATCAAACTGATGACACGACAGCGCGTAGATAACTTACTCGTCAATTAGGTATACATATTATTAACGCGAATCAAAGTCTTTTAAAATCATTGGATGGTGTTAATTTTAATATCTCTATTCTTAGCAAGGGATCTTGAAGTATTTGATCTGTTTAAATCGGGAAACCAAGCAACAAGACCTAACATCATCGTTATTTATAATTTCGATGAATTTGTGGAGAATTGTACTAAACCATTCGTGTACAATTTCTTTAATATAACTACTAGTAATAATTGTCCTATGGCATTGATTGGAATTACTCGGAAATTGGTAAGTTAACACGCTTATTAAATTGATCAAATTTCATTTAATTTTTTTATTTTTAAAGAAAAATCTCTATTTATCTTCTACAGAGCATATTCACCGATCTTCCCAGTAACATTTTGTCCCGAAATTCTTATTCTCATATTAATGTTAGACGCCCACATACGATTGAAATATTCCACCCAATTTGCGAAAAATACTTTGATCATAGATAATTCTGTTATTGATGATAGGAATATTTTAAGATGTTTATCAAGAAAGTTCAGGTAGGTTTCCGTTCGAAATAGTTGCATGTGCATTTGATAAAATTACTGATATTTCTTTCTTATAGGAATTATTTGAAAATAGAAGTTTTAAAAATATTATTGAAAAGATATTTAATAATTCAACAGATATCGTTTAGGACTTTTTATAAAATATGTGAGTTTTGGAATCAAAAATATTTTTTAGAACGCGAATTTAAATTCTAATTAAGATCTTCGTTTTTACGTACCTTTAATTAGTTTGAACCTGTTGGTAATTTGAATGCGAATCAACCATTTCTTATAATTAGTGATTTCACTCAAGCGGCCATGCAGCAAGATGTAAATATAGACAAAATTTTACAAGGTAAGAAATTATCGCAAAGAAATGTTCTTATTTTATTTTTCAACATTATATTCAAAACCTTTTTTCCTATCAACATTTTAAAGGATTCATGAATCTCAATTATGGATTCTGCTTTTCATTTTTTCATTAAGCGGACGTGACTGTAGCATATTTAATTTTGCTATGAATATGTAAATTATATAAATCTTATATGAACGAATCTGGTAGTAAATTTAAACAAAAAATTGATAAAAGAGCATTTATTAAGGGAAGAATTTGAATTTTTAGAGCAAAGGGATATGTTAAGAAAAGTTGATGGTGGCCCAAAGATTTCAGAATGATGAGATCGTTGATCTAATCTCAAATAATAATCGATTTCTCATAATTCATTATAAAATATGTTTACGTCATCCAACGTTTTATAGAAACATTGATCATGTTAAATATAAATACAACCAATCAGTGAACTAGTCGTATCTGAAAGCGTCCAATATAATTTTGAGAACCGTTAATCTTTATCAAAACATTTTCCCCTTATTATTATATATTTTTAAAAAAGAAAGAAACGAGAAATGACTTCAAATAATACTTCTCAAATTTACACACTCGTATCCTGCTTTCACAAAGTCGAGCAACGCAAAATAGTCTCCTACCAAAGAATCCAAGTTCCTTTGTTAGAGCAACGTGTTCCCGTACTTAAACCTAAACGACGGTTAGTTATAAATAAAATTATTTTAAATAATTTCAAATCGTATTTTGGTATACGGAACTTCACAAGGTATAAGTCATTATATATTTGTTTTCTTGGAGATTTCTACGTCACGAGATTCTCTCTCTGTTACTTGACCCTCATAAACAAATTTTTTATTTTTCTTTAATCACAAAACAAAAAGATAATGTCTTCGTTAAAAACTCAATTCCCTACTGATTTCATTGTCGAAGTGGATTACTTGGTCAACCTTTTCAGTATGGTTTCTTTGGATAAGGATAATGAAGTAAGCTTCATTACAAATGCTAAATTAAAAATAATAATGAAGCAGGCTTCATTGAAGCTAATTATCCAGCGTTCAGATTCGGAACACTGTGATCCATTTGGAAATATTTGGAGATATTTCTGGAGGATGTGGATTAGTTGAAGGAGTTGCAAAATTTACTCCAAGGAACACCTTCCTCAACTTCCATTATATGTTTAGTTTTACAAAATTTTTGTCAATTCATTTTGTTTATTTAGTTAAATTAGATATCTCTGTTTATATTATTATATATGGACAATTAAAATTACAAAATAATTCTTTAACCTTAAACCTTCTTCGTAGTAAAAAAGTATATTTCGATTACTTTAGATTTTTTTTTAAAAAAAAAAAAAAAATTTTTTTTTTAGTTTAGACGTGCCAAGAGTTTATTTGTCTAATTGTATTTAGATAGCTTTTTATCCTTTAATTTTTGTCAATAGATAATCCAGAAAAGGGAGAAAAAATCCAATATAAATTATTTTTCTGATGGAGTTAAATTCAATTGTTACCGCAAGCAAATAAATCATCCTTTCTATCACTGAAGAATCGACGACGTAACACCACTTGGTCGTATTCGCCCAGCCACTAAAAAAAAATTTTTATATAGCCACAACCTCATTAGGCTAATCATCAAGCTAAAAATTGATATCACGTGATATTTTTTGGTAAGATTTTTATTGGGAAACATTCATATACAAGTAAGTACAATTTAATTAAATTGCGATATCTTAATTCCAAAATCCTAATTTTAGTTCAGAAATACCTTCATTTGTTTTAATCTAACAACTATAAACTCAACTACCGCAGACGAAAATCAAAGTAGGATTAATTCGCTTGTTGCTTCACAATCAAAGCTTTTCTATTGAAATTATAGATTGGTTCAACTTTCTTTGTTGTTAGAAGATTAAATTATCATTATCTCTTTTATGTATTTGGGGTCGAGGTGGATCATGATTATGAACAATTTTTATTTTTTATTTTTTTATTTTTAAATCAATGATTAATTTGTACATTTTGATTAATTTAATTACAAAATCTTTGGAATTATTCACATATGGGAGACAAGGAGGAATTCCACTTTTTAGTCAAAAATTTTTTTATTGCTAATCATGGTCATGTGAACAAAACTAGCTTAATAACTAAAATTACTCAAAATTTGTAGATTTCTCCCTTTTTTATTGATCGCCTCCCATATCATAGAAAAATTCGTGTTTTCGAAATTTCAATAGCCAAACGAGCAATTTGGAAATAAAAACTAGTTTAGAGGGATTTGATAAGTACTGAATTTAGTATCCCACGCGAAGAAAAAGATATTATCTAAATATTAGAAATCATGTTTCAGCATCTTTTAGATATTTGCTAAACAGATATCTGCGCTAAAGTGACAATCACCAAAATGAATATATACTAGAATAGCCTTTTTATGATATAATGACACATCTTTGAATACCCAAAATAGGTTCTAACTTATTAAGAATCAATATGAAAATATAAATAATACATATTAATAAAATAAAATTTATATTAACGTATTTTTTTTTGTTTTTGTTTTGTCTTTATATTTACTTTTTCGTTAACAGTCCAGTAATTTGAATTTTCTTGTGTTTAATTTGTTATACATTATGCATTCCCTTTATAGGAATCATCCTTAATTATTATTAAAGTTAAAAAGAAAATATTGTTTAAGCTATTCACTAATATCCTGAGAATAAATTTAATAATTAATAATAAAAAATTATATATAATAAAATATAAAAAATTTAAATTTTAAAAATTTAAGGTTAAAAATATAGTAATTAAAAATTTAATAAAATATTACAATTATCTTAAAATAATTAAAAACTTATACAGTATAATAAATTAGATTATAGATCTAAAATGTTATAATTAGTTATAATAAAAAAAAATTAGTTATATACTAGCTGCAAAGCAACACGTCACGTTACACAAATTTTCAAACAAGGAAATTAGATCTTTTAATAAAAATGGATATTGCTCCAAAAATGGAATCTTATACTTGAATTTTACTGGGAGACAAAATCTCCTTTTTGAAATTGTGTAACGTTACGTAAAATACAATAAAATATTTAAAAAATTATTATTAATCTTTAAACAAGAAATATAATTTAATATTTATTTTTGAAATAAAATACGGTTAATAATGTGGAAAAATGAAAAAATTTTTAGTATTAGCAGTTTTGCACGAAAATATTACCAGAATCATCTATTAAATTTCTTGTAAATTTACGCATATTGGATCAAATTTATTTAGTAAAATGATATGTGTTAACACGAAATAATGAATATGTAGATATATTTAGATAATTTAGTTGATTGTAAATGAATAAATTTATTTTAAACATATTAAATAGAGACCATCATCATTTGACTAATAAAACGTAACTAGAAATTCGAAGAATGTTTCTTTTGTAGCTTAAAACTTGATTAAAAGTAAACATAGCATACATTAAACAAGCTTAATATTATTTTTTAAAATATTGCATAAAAATAAACTTAATATTCTGCATAATTTACATATAATTCGTGCTTAAATCTTAAAAAATTGCTTAAAGTTTTGCTTAAAATTGATTAAAAGAAAAACATAGCATATATTTAAACGAGCTTAATGATATTATTAAAATATTGCATAAAAATAAAACTTAATTTTCTACATAATTTACATATTATTCGCGCTTAAATCTTAAAAATTACTAAAAATAAGCTTAAAAATTGATTAGAAGAAAATCATATATTTAAACGAGCTTAATGATATATTTTAAAATATTGCATAAAAATAAAACATATGATTTACATATTATTCGTGCTTAGATCTTAAAAAATTACTTAGAAGTTATGGGTTAGAACATTCGGGTAAATAACCGAAATCATTACTTCGATGACATTTAAATTATATCGATCTTCTAAAGGCGGGTTATATGAATCGAAACGATTTAAAAAATTGTCCAAGATCGATTCATCGTTCGAATTTTGATCGATTGGTGAAATTTTGGTGTAATTCAACGTAGTTACCCCAGACGAATTTTTCGAAAGGATCATATGGGGAATTGCGGCAGAAAATTCCCAGGGCTTATTAGAAGAAGCCGAATGCCCTTCATTATTATCGTTTGTGCCGCCCATCAATTCCTTCTTTATCAGGACACAAATTTGTGACAAAATTTCAAAAGTTCGTTTTGTCTCAGTGCCGACGAGATTCCATCTTTCCGACGTTTCTTTCGAAATAACTTCGATCGTTGCATGAGGAATATCAGTTAAGATACTCGGTCGTATGTATCTTTTAAATAACATGAATTGGTTTAACGGCCTTTGACAAGGTTCTAACAATTCATATAGACGGGATTTTATCGGAAAATCCATCTCTACTTGGTGTAGTATATTTACATATCTTTTAAGGACTCGTTCAACTTTCATTTGATCATAAATAATATTGACCTTTTTAGCTTTTGGCATTGTGTAATGATAAGAGAATCGAAAAAGAAGGAAATTAGTTAAAAGTTAAATAGACTTAAAATTCTAACCTTTCATCAAATGCCTTCAATTTATACTTTTTGAATTAGTAGAATATTTAGCACGAAAAAGGAGATCAGTTAACATGTGCAAAATTTTTTTTCGAATTATTAATTTAATTTAACGTGTGCGATCTTTTTTTCCTTCATATCTTTTTTTGCTAACAATAATAGCAAGTTTTCAATTTGTTCATTTTTACACTTTCACGGAAATGGTCGTGCATCATGGATGAATAGAAGTAAGTGGTTCATTTATAAAATTAAAGGTTATTTTGGACAAAATATAATATAAAAGTTATTAATTTTTACATAATTAAATTACCAAATAAGGACGTACTATGATAAAGTTCATGTATGAATCGTAAAGAAATAATTGTGTCGCGCGAAAAAAGTGAAAAAAAGTTAATAATCGTAATCAAAATAGGCTTGAATTATTAAATTACAGTCATTTATTAATACCACATAAGGAAACTGAAATAATATATATCGTATGTGACCTATTTTACATCTAACGTTTCGTAGAATAGCGGATATTAGACTTTAATTTATCAAGATGGGCGTGAACCATAAATGGATTCAATGTTAATGTTTTGAGTTAAACTATATTAATTTGACCTTTCACCTTTATAAGAAAAAGATTAAGATCAGTGTATGCCGATACTTCTAGTTTTGTAATTATTGTGTGGCTTTTTTTTTGAAATGATGATCAAATTTGTCGTGATACTATTGAGGTTAATTGTTCTCTAAAATGGCAATCTGATTATTTGAATTTGAATAAATAAACTACCAATTGAAAATTGACTTCCCCTGCATAACCTTCAAAAAAATGTCACGAAATTTCACAAGATATTATTATTTGTCACCGGAGTCACTTTCCTCCGCGTTTCATTTTTACTATGTATTATGGGGACAGAATTTTTTAGTAGTTAAAAATCTATTTGTCACCACTATACGTCATATGTGCGCCACAATTAATTCCAGCCAAATGCCGTGGTGCCGGCCATTTCGTGACATTTTTTGGAAGGTTAGCTGGGGAAGTCTTGAAAATTTTTCTGCGCCACAAGAAAACATCCTCGATTTTGTATCACCATTTCACATATTAAAAAAGCCGGAAAAAAAGGAGAAACAAGACATATTTACTATTCACAAGCTTTACAAGTCTGATCATTATTTTAAATAAAAATTATTAGTCAAAAATTCTATTTATATATTTTAAAGGTAAAGATATTTACTTTATAAACTATTTAATGGGGTTTTTTATTCAATTTTTTTTTCTTAGAGATTATATAGGATGTTTATAAGAAAAAAGGAATACCAATATTAATTTAATTTTGAATTTTAAAAATTTTGTTAAAATATAAAGCTTTAAATGAACTTAGTGTCATTATTAATTTAGTTTTATATTTTACAAATTTTTATTAAAATTTTAATATAATTTCTAAGTTTTTCTTTTAGTATTTAGATAAAATATTACATCTATTATATTTGCTTTTTTTTTTAATACACTTACTTAATGACAAAATACCAAAAAAAAAATAATTCAAATAATTATATAATTATCAAATATATATTGTAAAATTAAAGATTTTTAATGACTGTCCTTCTATTCAAATTTGATAATAGATTCAGAATTCTTGTTAAATTTCAATATTATACTTTTTATCTTGAAATAAATTTACTTTAATAAATAATAATTTAAAACTATTATATCATTAATTCTTATTATTATTAATAATTTTTATCTATAATACAATCTTAATTTAAATAAAATTTTATGATATTTTAATTTTACATTTTTAAAACATTTTAAATACAATATTATTGATTCTTATTAAAATAAATGAATATTATATTTCATATACATTAATAAGTAAATAAAATAAATCTTTAACATAATATAATAATATATTAATTAAATAAATTATTAAATCTTTTTTTTTAATCTTTTAATTTAAAATTTAAAACATAACTTTAAATATATAAATACAAATAAGAATAAGAGAATAAAACTAGAAAATAGAACTTAATATAAAGTTAAATACTAATATAATGATAATCAATAAAAATCAAATTTTAATCAAATTTTTATTAGCTAATTATAGTCATATATACAAATTAGCTTAAAAACATAAATTTCAAATTTTTCTTTTTTTATAATAATCTTCTATATATTAATTAAAATAGCAAAAAATCTGTAAAGGAAATTTTTAATAATAAAATAGAAAAATAATTTTTTATATATATAAAGCAAATAACTTAGTAACATCAAATAATTTTTAAGAATTTTAAAATATTAAAAATTATTTTAACATAATTATTAAAAAATATATTATTAAATAATCTTTGATATGACCTTTAATATTATATATTTTTTATTTTATTATAAAATTTTTTGTAGTTAAGATTTTTTAATATTAATTTTAATAATAATAGCAGAATTTTTAATGTCTTTATTATTACATATTTAAAATATGATTAATATATATAAATTATATGATAGATATAATTAGTTAATCTTAATTCAATAATTTTATTTTGTTTTATATGTTATTAAATTCTTTTAAAATATTTGTAAAAATATAACCACAAAAATATTTATCTTATCTAAATATTCAAGTTTATAAGCATTTATATAATATGTAGAAAAATATACAAATTAGCAAATTATATTAGGTTAATTAATTATAATGTATGTAGTACAACTTTCTTTAAAATCTTTTAAAAATTAAAAAAATTAAAAAGGGAAAAAAAAATAAAATAAAAATAAATTAAATTAAAAAAAAATAAAAATATTAATTAAAAAGGTAGAAAAAAAAAAAAATAAAAAAATAAAATAAAAAAAATAAAAATTAAAAATTAAAATTAAAATTAAAAAAATTAAAAAGATTGAAAAAAGAGAAAAAATAAATAAATAAAAAAAAATAATAAATTTAAGATTGAGAAAAATATATAATTAAAAAAAAATAAAATAAAAAAATATAATCAAAAAATATAAAATTATAAATGTTATAAATTATTAATTTAAACAAAAATAAAAAACTTTTTTGAGATCCTAATATTTATTTGAAAATTAAAACGAATTAAAAAAAAATAATTAAATAAATTTATCTTTTATTTATAATATAATTTAATTAGTTGACTTGAATTTTGTTAGGTTAGATAAATAGATTAATCTGAATTAATTCAGAGTTCTAATTACTAAGTTTATATTTTATATAAATTTTAATAAAACAAATCTTTTGAATTTTTTAAAAAAATATAAATTTTGATATTTTTTAATAATATATGTAATTTTATAAATTTATATATATAAATGTATAATTTTATATACAATAAATATATATTTAAATTAAATTAGTAGTTATCAAGAAATTAAGTTTTAAAATTTAATAATTTTATTTTTTTTTTACTATAAGTTTATATAATAATTTTTATAATAATTTATATAAACAAATTAAATTAATTCTAATAAATTTAATAAATTTTAATTATTAAATTCAAATTCTTTTGATGAGATAATTCTAATAAGCCTAAAATTATAAAATTTTAATCATTATCTATAAAAAAATTAATTGTTAAGTTTAACCTTATTTATACAAAAAATTTGTATAATATTAATTTTAACAATCAATTTCTTTATAAATAATATTAAGATTTTATGATTTTAAGTTTATTAGAATCATCTTATTAAGATAAATTTAAATTTAAAATTTATTTTTGCAATTTTTTTATTGATTCAAGCTAGCTTAAATAAAAAATTACTTTTAAATTTAATCTAATAATAAGAATATATAATTTATTAATAAAAATTTTAATAATTATAAGAATTTTAACAGTAATATATAATTTAACCTAATTTTTATATTTTTATATTTTTGAATATATACTAATATAATTTAAATAAATAAAAAAATTTACTTTAGTAAAATTTTTCTATTAAAAATTTCTTAAGATACTTATCTTTTTGTATTAGATCTATATATAAATTAAAATTAAAATTTAAAATTAAAATATTTTAACTTAATGTATTATAATAGTTAAAATTAAAAAATACTTTTAAAAAATTAATAAAGAAAAATATTTATCCCTTAAAGCATAGATATAAATTGGTTATAAAACATTATAAAAAAATTATAATATTTTAATATCTAATGATTACAAAAAGATGAAATAAAGTTTATTAGATTTGTCATATTAAAATCTTTCTAATAATAATATTTTTAAATTTTTAAAATTAAAATTATCAATATAAATTAATTTTTCAATTTTTCAATTTTTTAAAATAATTTATTATTAAATAAATTACAAAAAATAAAATTTAGTTTGTTGGATTTATCTTATTAAGACCTATTAAATAATTATATTTTCATATTTTTAAGATTAATAGATAGCAAGATATATAAGTTTAAATTTTAACTTTTTTTCATAATAATTTATTATATATTTATCTTTAAAATATCACTAATTAATTACATTTTTTTTGAATTTTTATTTAGAAAACAAAAATTGCAGGCAAATTTGCCTGCAAAACGTTTGAAGGGATAGTATAATAATAAAAAAATATTAATTTAAAAGATCAGTTGACATAATGTAATACATGTAATAAGAAGTTATATTATTATACTACATTAGATAAAAAATGATAATAAAGATGAAAAAATAAATTAAATAAAGATTACATAAAACATTTAAAAAATGCTAAAATTTTTTTATATTATTAATCAACTTATATTATTAATTATTTTATATTAATAATTAATTATTATTTTAATTATTTATATTAGCAAATTTAGTATAAATAGAATAGTTTTAGAACTTGGTTAGAGATAGACAAGTTCAAATAATTTAAAATAATTTAGATAATTTTACAGATATTCTTAGATAATTAAAGAATTTAATTTAGTCTTTATTATAAATAAGATAAATACTAATAACTCTTATATATTAATAAATATAATTATATTAAATTCTTTATTTCTTAATAAAATTCTAATTGCTTATTCTAAATATACATTATTACCTAAAATTAATATTTATTTATCAATCCTTTAGAACTTTTTCAACTTTTTCTGAAATATTAATTAAAGCTAAATTCTTATTAATTTTATATCAATATTAATTTTCAGTTATAATTATTGTAAGATAATATATATATAAATATATCATTATTATATTATTATTATTATTTTATTATTTTATTATAATTATTATTTTATAATTATAATATTTATCTTAAAAATCTTTTTTAAATTAATAAAAAATATTAAAATAAAATAATAAGTGATAAAAAAAAGATAAAAAAATAAAATAAAAAAAAATAAAAAAATAAAGCATTTTTTTTTATAAAAAAAAAATGATGTGGTATATATAGAATAAAGTAAAAAAAAATTGAAAAATTAAAATAAAATAAAATAAAAAAAATTAAAATAAAATAAAAAAAAAATAAAATAAAATAAAAAAATAAATTAAATAAACAATTAATTAATTAATAAATATATTTTATTAAATAATAAATATTTCAGTAAAATAAGTTTTCTTATATATAAAATTAATCTAATATTAATTAAAAGATATGATTTTAAAATTAATATAATAAGCATAAAATTCTAATAAAAAAATATATGTAAAAATGAATTAGAATTAATACTTATAAAAAAAAATAAATTTTATAACATTTTTTTATTTTTAATATTAATATTATTCTTAAAATTTGAATTAAATTTAAATTATATAATAATCAAATTGAGTTAATCTAAATCAAATAATAATTAAATCAAGTCAAATTCAAGTTTTATAATTATTGATTTTTAATTTTTAAAATAATTAAATTATTAAAATTAAATTAATTTTATTTTTTTTTAAATATAATTTATTTATTTCTATTTTCTTAATTATATATATTATTTTTCTATTAATTTTTTTTTTTTAATTTTTAATTTTTATAATTATAATTTTAATTTTTAAATTTTCTTTTAATTATTTTTTTTTAATTTTATTAATTTCAAATTTTTTAATTAATTTTTTATTAATATGATTTTTTTATTATATTAATTATTTTTTCAGATATATGTATTTTTTTTAATTTTTAATTTTACAATTTTTTTACTTTTATGAGTTTTTTAATTTAATTTAATTTTTAATAATTGTAATTTATTAAATTCAATATATAAATGATAATAAATTATTATAATATATAATAACAAATATAATTTATCAAAATTAGACTAATTTTAGATGAATTATCACAAATTTCTTTATTATTAAATTCAAAAGTAAAATATATATATGTATTTAAAGATAAAAATGAAATTAATAAATAAAGACTTAAGATTAAATGGATATTCCTTAATATTTATTTACTTTAACTATATTATTTATATCAGATGATATTATAAAGTACTTAAAAAATTTTTATAGCAATTATAAATAATAACTTTACTCATTATAAATATATAATATTTAAGAAAATTAAATAGATATTTAGTAATGCTATTAGAAAATCAAATTTTAATAAAAAAGCTTTTTGATTTTAAGTTGAATGGTAAAGTATTATTTGTGTATTCAAGCTATAAGTATAACTTTAGAGAAAGCTTTAAATAAGTTATTTTACTATTAATAGAAGTAAGAGATATATATTTAAAAAATTAATAATTATTTATAATAATAATGAAATTAATATATTCAATTTATGTAGAAAAAATAATAATTAGTAAATAATTAAAAAAAAAGAAAGAGAACAATTTTTTTTTAATATTAACCAATTTTATTTAATATTAAATTTTATATGAAATAATAAAAATAATAAAATCTAATTATTTTATAAATTAGACTAAAAAAATAAATTTTGGATTAAACTAAATTGGTAGAATTGAATGATGTAAGATTAGACTGGTCTAGTCTAAAGAAAGATAAAAGATCAATCTTAAAAACCATTATGCATTAATTCTTTCTATATGAATATATGTCATTATCATAATAATCCTTCTGAATCACTATTAAATTAATAAATTGCAATTTTAGCACTTAAATGAATCTTTAGTAAAAGTATTTTTAACTAAATAAATAAGTGAACTTATAATTTACTTAAATAATCCATAACTCTTTTATTATCTTATTATGAATTTAATATTTTTTAATTGTTTTACCTACTTATAATTCATTTTTAATTATTTTTAAAAATTGAAAAATTGATATATATTAATAATTATTAATTTTAAAAATTTAAAAATATTATTATTAAATGTATTTAATATAATAAATCTAATAAACTTTATTTCATCTTTTATAATCATTAGATGTCAAAATATTTTGTTTTCTAAATGTTTTATAGACAATTTAAAGGATAATATTTTTAATTGCAACCCTCCTTGTTGATTTATTTAAACATTTTAGCTCTACATCTATATTATTCTTTCTAATCCATTTTGGTATATTGATAAGAATAATACTGAATAGATCCTTCAAACCAATTTGCTTGATATAATACTATCCAAAATGTATCATCCATAGTCGACAAATTGGTGTATTCTTGATTAGGTTTGGTTTATTTGCAGGCTATATTTATTAAAATATTTATTAAATAAAGGATTAAAACACATTAGAGTACATTGCTATTGATGCCTATACTAACCGTTGCAAATTCAGTCGACATGATCATGAACTTGTTCATATCCTTCCGACACATTTCGATAATTTCTTTTTTCGAAAACGTTTTGTCTATACTTTCGTTCGCAAAATATTTTCATTAAGTTATTAATTAATTTTTTTATGAGTATTTCAACACAGAATCATCATCCTACCTATTTCCCGCTCCTACTCGGTTTCCGTACATAGTCTCCGAAAAATTACTTGATTTTGTATCTCCTTCGGGCGAAAAAACGTTCATCTTTGCCGGACAAGCGTATGTCGTTCTCAGCAGGTCTTCAATGTGGGAAAACGTGAACTTCTTGACATGTTCCATGGGAGAATTATTGAGGTACGACTCTGCCACCTTTGCTGAAGTCGGATACAGCGAACTTGCAGAAGCTAATAGAAATTGTTGTGTTGTCATTAGGAACTTTTCAAAAATAACAGACCAGCAACCGCGTGAAAAATGTGCTGTGTTATGTGTGCGAGATTTCGGGGAGAGAATATATTGTTAATGTCAAACCTTGGGTTTGTGAAGAAAGAATTTCTGTGTCGGGCGAAATTTTCTGTGGCGATTCGGTTTTATTGAGAACTTACGAATGTCACGTGATCAATTATATTATTTGGTAGTAATTAGATAAAATTAGATAATAACAATGATAAGTTTTTCTGATGGACTTTGAACCTATTATGTTTATGCAATTTAAAAAAGAAAAAATACCACGAAATATTCTTTGACAAAATAAACTGCATATTTAATTAAATTTTAATATATTGTAACAGAGCGACATTAAATAATTCTATTTAAATCGAACACGAAATTTTCTCGTTTTATTATTGATAACTTCCCATGTGAAAATCTTCACCTTAAGGTCGTACCTTTTAGGAAAAGGAAAAAAGTTCTGACAAATAATCTATTTACTTTGCGGTTGATCGACGGGAGAGACCTCAGAATCCACGTCTGACAATAACAGGCGTGAAATAGTCAGATATAACATTCTTTTTTACCTTATATTTTTTGACCTTTTATAAATGTTCTCATTATCTTTTTGAATTAATGAGGCACCTTTACTTACTTTTTCAATATCTTCGTAAAGATCATGAAAGTCCTTATTATCAAAACGATTCATCAGTTGACAATGATCTCACACATCTTCAATCGATTCAATGGATAATGATCGTTTCTTTGATTTAGTAGGTATAATGATTTCGGCGAAATTTCAGTAATTCAGCAGAATATTCTGTAATATATTTAATAGTAATAAATAAATATTATTTTATTATTATTATGATAATTAATTACTGTTTTAAATAAAATAAATATGTATGTTGTATATATAAATTTTCAGCTTACATCCCAAGATTCAATAAAACAATCTAAATTCTCTATCCACATCTGTTGGGTGTTTCTCTAAGTTTCTTTTTCTTACACGACTTTTTATCTTCAAGATTTTTTTTTGCTCCTAGTAAGAAAAAGAATATACTTATAATCAAGTTATTCTTAATTCGCAGAATAAAAACAATAATTTTATATCAGAATATTTACGTTTTCTTACAAAATTTCCACACTGTAAAACCCATCAAATAACCATATCCATGATTATTAACAGACACATATCGGTTGCATCCTTATCGTCCTTATCATACTCATCGTTATCTTTATCGTCCGTAAATATTTCAAAGCCATCGGACTCTAATAAAACAATAGCCTCAATACGCGAAAGGCCTTCAATTTAAGACTACCATCAGCCTTCATTTAATCAATATGACTTTATCCTTGTTCATGGTAACTTCGGCTTCAAGTATTTTTATCATGTGAGCCTAAAAAGTTTAAGAATTATAAATTTAGAATCATACTCCACAAATTAATTTAATACTAAGAGGATGATGATGATGATATTAATATAAATACGAACCTTCCTCTTCTAATATTCGAGCCTGTATGTTTAAAGTTCCTGAAGAATTTCTTGGGGAGAATTATATTTTCGAATACGACCCTTGCCATCGAAACAAACCATGTTCGACGTTCCGATGGTCGTTCGCATCTAAAATCATCTTTCAAGTCCTTCTTTTAAAGAATCTCTTAGACTTATTCGCGATAGCTTTGCGGTGGTGGTTGTATGTTTTTTTTTGTACTCCTAGTATTTATAAAAATAATTTAATAGAATATTAAAAATTTCTAAGGCAGATTAGCTACATAAATGTTTACGTACGAGGATCCAGCTTGGGAACTTTATCTGTTCCGGATATCCACAGCTCAAGCGTTTCTTTGTAATTTTGAGTCCATACACGAATTGATAATTCGGTAATTCGGACGGATGCATTGTTAATTTGGTGGATCTTGCCATTGATCTTGTATCTGTCATTGCTTACTTGTTCAACTTCACCCTATATATTATATGAAATAATAATTTAAGATATGGGGAATTCAAAAGTCCGTTAGAGGATTCTGCTAAATGATTATTAATAATGTTACCTGGAACCAGTGATGTCCATTTTTGATGTCCCAGAGATTTGTTGTCCCAGCTATATGTCCCAACCTGTCCCACACTATGTCCCAAATGTCCTATATGTCCCATCTATGTCCCATCAGTGTCCCATCAATGTCCCATGACAACACTGCCTGGAACCCACGATACCAGGGATGCATTGGAATTGGCTTTTCATTGTTAATTAATCGTTTTAAATTGTTAACGATTTCGCGAGGATTGTAATTTGGAATAAATGAACCCCAAACTAATAATTATAAGATAAATCAAGATGATTATTATTCGTCTTGCGAAATACTTAATATGCTGGTTTTTAAATAAACTCACCGGTTCCGATACCCTCGAATCCATTAACAAGGATCATTGGCAGAATTAGAAATACCATTCAGGTTCTACAAGCTGACCGTCATCATTACAATACGTTAGTAATGAGTCATAAGGGAAATATTTTTCGAGTCAGTGCCTTGATCCCTTGTACCAAATTGACCTTCGCCATGAAGGATATTGATGTTATTTGAACCGATAAAACTGCGATGATTGTACCTTGAAGACTTGCATTACCGCCCCGACTAACGAAGGAACTTTAATTTCGTTCTTGTACTTTTTCTTAAAGCACGTGTACATAACTTTTTTCTACCGGGTTTAGTCCGTCGAGAACATTTGGAATCGAACGTTCATTATCGGTTTGACTGAACAAGGTCAGCTAGTTAATTTTTTTGTGATTCCTTCCTCATCATTATTCATGTAGGTACCGGGATGGAAGAATATAAATGTGAGATTTTCATTAAAGAGGTTACATTCTGATTGGAATCAGGAAACAGAAAAAAATCTATACACACTTCATAATTACTTAACCATTTCTTGCGATCATCAGCTTTCTTTTTATTAAAGGACAAATCGATCAACTCTCCCCGTTCATCTTGAAGAGTTCTAAAAGGTTTTTTATGACGCTTTAGACTTTAAAAAATTTTTAGCTTCCTGGGTATTAAAAATGCCAAGACCCTAGAAACAAAATAATATTACGACAGTATTGGTTAGTAAATTCAATTTGTTGTAAAAATTATCTATAAAGAAATTACCTTGTAATATTTGACCTTCAATTAGGGTCGTTTTCTTCCAATTTTCATATTCAGGTATGGTAAAGAATGACACCCTTCGTATACTAATAAGTTTGATACATTATTATTGGATCTCACGATTATTTTATTTATTAGCGTGATTTAATGGTTTCATACCTTTACGATCGGTGTAATGAATTCTCATAAGAAATCCGGAACTTTTAGCAAGGAGGGAAAGTAATGATCGAAATATGGCTTCCATCGTGATCTTGATCCGTCATGATCATCAGCGCCCATATCGTAATTCGCTTGTTGATGTATATTCCTTTCCTTGCTTCAGTCCAAGGATTTGGCTTTATAATCTGGGAGTGTGTACCTTCACGGACGTTTAAAAGTTTCCCCGGAGTGGGAAAATTTCATAATTATCACGTCCAACCC